CCGCACCGCCGACAACTGCCGCCGGTTGGTGTCGCTGCTGGATGCCTTCGGTGTGGCCGTCAATGTTCTGCACGTCGACACCGCCGAGATGCGGGCCTTCGTGGCGGAGCTGCTGGCGAGGCAGGTCGCCATTGGGGCGCGGCAGCGCAGTAGTGCCGTCTCCGCGTTTGAGCTTCCCCTCTGCTTCGTCGGGCCGGTGCTTGTGGGCACGCACGATGAAGTGGCGGAGCTCGACGAGGACGGCGCGCTGCCGGCAACTCTGCGGGCGGTGGGGTACAGCGGGCCGTTCCGCGCGGCCGCCCACAACGACATCCCAGTGGGCGCCGTGCCTGCTGCTGCTGCTGCTGCTACTACTACTGCGTCACGGCAGGAGACCAACGACAACGGCACCACCGGCAGCAGGAATGGTGACAAAGACGGCGGCGAGGATGAGTCCAGGTCCACATTGTCGGAGGACAGCGACGATGACGAGCCACCACCACCGCCGCCGCCGCCCGATGAGGATGAGGATGGCGAGGGCGGCGGCGACGGTGCTGACAGCGCCTTGCACAGTAGCGATCTTGATGGTGATGATGACGAGGATGAGCCCCCGCCACCACCACCCTCCGAGGACGACGACGACGACGACGACGAAGACGACAATGGGGATGATGGTGATGATGACGAACCACCACCCCCACCTGACGAGGAATGAGTAGTGTGACCTATCGATACATTTCCTGCGGCTGCAGGAAAGGAAACCACGTAGATACACCCAAACACATGTGTATGTGTCTATGCGCGCATGCATACGTGCGATGAAGTGGGGTGCTGGAGAAGCCACACACACACACACACATGCACGCACATCTTTCTTTCTATGCACACACATCCATATAAATATATAAATATATGAATATGTATATGGATATATATACGCCTCTGTTTATAATTCACGCCTCCCACAACAACAAAAAGATAAAGGCAACCTGAGGCGAGAGTACTCTACAATAGGGAGCGGAATGAGCGCTGTCGTCCAACAACAGCAGCAGCCGCATCAGTCGCCGTCAGTGCTGACGAAGCTCTTTAAGGGCCACGCTGGCGCGGCGACGATGGCTGGTGTGTTAGAGATCGCCTTTTTCCACCCGTTCGACACGGTGGCGAAGCGGCTGATGAGTAACCGCAACCGGATTCAAGGCGAATCCCTCGCTGGCACGATGCACAACCTCAACGCCACCATCTTTCGCGCCAAGGCGGACGCCAGCGTGGCGCAGAAGCTGCTGTACCTCTACCCCGGCTCCACCTACGCCGTCTGCTACAAGGTGCTGCAGCGCGTGTACAAGTTCGCCGGGCAGCCGCTGGTGCGTGACCACCTCAACACGCACCATCGCGACCGTTTCACGCGCCTCTTTGGCAGGCGCGACAAGCTCCTGATGGAGTCCGTCGCCGGCTGTCTCATCGGCATCGGCGAGGTGATGCTGCTGCCGCTCGACCGCCTCAAGGTGCTGAGCCAGACCAACGAGGCGGCGCTGCGGGGCGGCGTGGTGCAGCTGCTGCGTCGCGAGGGGGTGCGCGGGATGTACGCCGGCACCGTTGTCACCATGACGCGCAACGCCCCCGGCTCCTTCTGCCTCTTCGGTGGCACCGCCTTCACGAAGGACGTCGTGTTCCGCCTCGACGACTACCGCGCGGCGACCTTCTTCCAGAACATGTGTGCGTCCACCTTCGGCGCGTGCCTCAGCATCACCGTGACGAACCCGATGGACGTCATCAAGACACGCGTGCAGAACAAGGACCCCGGCGCACAGCTCAGCGCGGCCGCGGCGCTCTCGCGGCTGCTGCGCGAGGAGGGCTACAGCGCGCTCTTCAAGGGGCTTACGCCAAAGGTGATCGCCTCGGCGCCGAAGCTGGTCTTCGCCTACAGCATGACGGAGTTCTTCCTA